ACATCAATGGAAAATCTACAAATTTGACCCTAGTGTCGATTTTTGGCCTGTATCTCCATTTGTGGATTGCGAGAAGTAACTCATTTTGTCAGCATGTCTATGTTCTTTTTGTCTCTGGATATTTACAGATTCCTACATATCTTTATGGGACTTTTTGTATTTATTTTAATATCTGTTCTTTTTGTCTGGGGATATTTACAGCTGCCCTCTTCTCTATGGGACATTTTGGAGGAGACTTCGTGGTCGTACCTGAAAGACGCGCGTGAGCAGAGGCCATGCTTGTGTACGTCTCACACGCACACGGAGGCGGCCTTGAAGAAGGTTCAAGAGCTGCGCTTGGGTCATCTCCCGGCGTGCAGGAAGCTGAGACAGTCGACACAGTCACGAGGTACGACAGGCGTAGCTGCCAGCCAGTGGCAGGGGGAGTGGGGTTGTTGGTTGTTGGTTTAGCAGGGTTCCTGCAGCCTCCTTTAATTCAAGGAGTCCTTGAAAACTCCTTGAATTTGCATTCAAGTACAAATCTGGACTAATCTCCTTAAAAAAAAACTTCTTGAATTTTAATTCAAGGCCCTTTAAATTGTTTATATATTTGCATTCAAGGAACAATCTCCTTGAAAACTCCTTGAATTTCGCTGGATCGGACGTGAGCAAAATTTTTTTGGGACCATCGAAACTACAATTCCTTTTGGACAAGTGTAGGCCTATCGGAAATAGGCTTTTGGGATGTGATTAGGCTGTCGAAAACGGCATGAATTTCTTGACCAAATCTCCTTCAACTTTTAAAATTCCTCTTTGAAACCACCTTGAAATCTCAGTGAATTTGGTGGGGAGTTCATGGCAGGAACCCTGCAAAAAGCTCGTCTTCTCTTTATAGATTGTTTATATTTTCCCTCAGACTTAGGCAAATGAGGAAGGATGCGCAATTTTTCTCCTAGATTTGCCTTTTTTTAGAAACTATTGTTTGTGGTCTTGAATTATGATCTTGTACAGTTGTGAGCGCAGTAAGACACTTATCAAAACAAAGAAACTATTATTCAACTGTCTTGAATGACAAGTTGTTTATTTAATTAATAGATACATCAAGCTACTGGATTAAAAAAAAAAATTTTTCGAAAGTGTAAATCAAATATTGAAGAAGAAAAATGTTTTGTTTATGCTGCATTCGTTCTCCCTATCTAAACCATGTCAGTGGGTGGCTGGCAGGTGCTCTGGTTTGGTTTGCTCTTTCTTTCCTATCAAACTTCTATTGTTGTATCGTCCTTATCTCTCCTCCTTCTTTTTTATGTTTGTCACTCTCTTGTTGTAACACCTCTATTCTTCGGCCCTTATATATGACCTTGTTGTGTTGCAAATGCCGTAAAACTCTTACTAAAACTAAAAAACTAGAGAAAAAAACCCTGTCAAAAACCGTGTCATGGTTTCAGCTGCCAAGCTCAGAGGCCTCCCGGACACGGACTTAGGAGAAGAGAGTGACGAGGAAGAGGACGGAGAATTTGAATCGAGCTTTGCTGGACATTTGCTTCCGACGGTTTTGACGTCTACGCCACGTGCACCCAAAGCAAGGTGAGTGGAGGGAGAGAGAGAGAGAGAGGGGGGGAGAGAGAGGGGGGAGGGAGAGAGAGAGGGTGGGAGAGTGGTGGGGCTGTGGGGGCCGGCTGCTACATAAAGAGAGTTTAATTTTTAGTTTTAGTAGATGTTTTACGGTGCTCGCAACTGTATATGGTCTTATGAGTGCCAAGGGGTGGATGTCAATAGAGAAGTCTTTACAGGGAATCAGGCTTACCCTGCCCACCTCTCTAGCTTCAACAGCACAAAGTCTGCTTTTACTATCAAGGCACCCCAGAAATAGCAGTTCACAAGAGAGTGATAAACATACAGAAGAAGTAGAGGAAAATTATGATAGTAAGGATGAGGAAAGAAAAGGCAGCAGCTCCCCCTATGTTGTTTCGGCACAGTATGAGCATGACATTGATCAATCAGCCCATTTGTAATTCTACTGTGCATAAGAACATGTTAATATCCCCCCTTTGGGAATGGCCTAAAGACAACTTCAGTCAGTAGCACTGCCCTGGTGGGGGGTATAAAGAGAGTGATCTTGAATTATTATATGTGAGGAAGTCCCATTACTTACAGAAAAGTTGGGAAAGTGGAAAGACATGGAGTGACATCAAGCGGCTAGCCCAGGATAGGGAAAGGTGGAAAGTGTTTGTCCGTGGCCTATACCCTGATCCAGGATGAGAAAGGCAATGATAATGATGAATCCTGCTACTTGTTTTGATTGAGTAAACTTATACCCAACTGACTGCCTTTTTTTTCATTTCCATGCCTGGTTTTCTTCTGTAACACCCCCCCCCCCACCTCTCACCCCACTCACACACACACACACACATGCACCACACAAACACACACACACTCTCTCACACATCCAACTCCCAGATCCGCACACATTCTCACTGTCACTCGAAGAAGACAAAGAAGTCAAAAAAGACGAAAAAGAAAAAGTGGAAAAGAAGAATGGACAGACCGACGGACACACAACCTCCTCAGTTTTGTTTTGTTTGGACTCCCCAGTCGTGACCTACTTTTACTGCGATCGGTACCGGTCCCCCTGGTGAACGGCGTGTTTCCGGCCAAGATTCGACATGGTGATGGTTCTACAGTCGGTATGAGACGATTTTCTTTCCCCTCTCTCTCTCTCTCTTGGGTGTGTGAGAGAGAGAGAGTGTGTGTGGTGTGTGTGAGGGGGGGCATGTGTGTTATGTGTGTGTATGGAGGGGGGAT